CTCGGGGGCGCAGGGAAGGGCTCGAGTAGGAGATCGACTGCAGCAATGACCCCGAGATCCAGCGCATGGAACAAAACCCGGGGCTGAGGTCTTTCGTACTTTTCGGCCTCTGGGGGCCCTCGCCGGGCCTCGGGACCGTCTAGAAACGACTGAGGATGAAAAATCGGTCCTGGAGAATGGGTCGAGACTTCTGGGGACCCCGTAACTAAAAAATCTCGCCATCGGCTCTCCTGGGATGTTCCCCAGAATCCCACCGGCACTCTGGGCGTAGGTGGTTTGACGAGTTTTGACTTCTTACCCCCTCCTCCCCCTGAGGGGTCTGTCACTGTTCCCCATAATAAGCACCCCATCCTCCAGGCACGGGCGACCGGCAGCCGACCAGGACCAGTGAGGGCACTCCCCCACCGTCCCTGCCAAAAACAATGTGAAGTCCACTTGGGGGCAAAATCTTGGGTCATCATCGGGGGGTCGCGATTGTTTTGTATCCATATCCAAAGTGGGGTTATTGTTTTCTCTGCCACCTCCGCCGCGCAGGATCTCCTCCTCCTTATCCTCCTCCTCCTCCTCCTCCTCCTCCTCCTCCTCCTCCTAATCCTCCTCCCCTCTCTCTCATCCTCTTCCTCCTCCTCCTCCTCCTCCTCATCATCATCAGAATCATCATCAGAATCATCATCATCCTCATCTTCATCCTCCTCATCATCATGAGCAGCAGCAGCATTATCATCAGAATCATCATAATCAGCATTATCAGCATCTTCCTCGTCATCCTCATCATCCTCATCATCAGCATCATCATCACTTTCATCATAATCCTCATCATCATGATCACCACCACCATCACTATCACTATCACCATTCCATCGTGATTAACGATCCTCGTCCGTCATCGTCATGATCACCACCACCACCGCCACCGCCACCGTCATCATCATCATCATCATCATCATCATCATCATCATCATCACCACCACCATCATCATCATCATCATCATCATCATCATCATCATCATCATCATCATCATCATCATCATCATCATCATCATCATCATCATCATCACCATCAGCATCATTAACATTGCACACACACATTCCTTCACTCACGCACACACACACACTCATACACTCATCTTGGGGAAGTCTCGAGCGGGAGCCTCGTCTGTGAGTGAATTGCGAGGAAGTCTTAGGCGGGCGCGCCTTCCCTATGGGGCCCGCATCTCATACTACTAATCAAAGAGGGTCATCCTCAAACCTATAACTATCGTCACGGTTGCGCTCCTCAGGCCTTGGAGGAAGTCTCAGGCGGGAGCCTCGTCGGCGAGTGAATTGCGAGGAACTCTTCGGCGGGAGCCCCCTCCCTATGGGGCCCGCACCCCATGTTACTAATCCCGGCGGGTTATCCTCAAACCTGTAACGGTCGTCACGTTTGCGCTCCTCAGGCTTGGAAGGAGGCAGTCTCAAGCAGGAGACTCGTCTGAGAGTGAATTGTGAGGAAGTCTCCCCCTCCCCATGGGGCCCGCACCTCGTGTTACCAGTCCCAGCGGTTTATCCTCAAACCTGAAACTGTCGTCACTGTTGGGCTCCGCAGTCTTGTGTATGGAGGAAGTCGTAGGCGGGAGCCTCGTCTGTGAGTGAGCAGCGAAGCAATCTCAGGCGGGTTGCGCACACGGGGCCTGTTTTGGTTCCCCATAGCTGCCCAACCAAAGGCTATCGCTGAACATGCTGCGGCTCGGGTGCTGCGTGTGTGTTGGGAGGGCGGGTGGGAGTGAGCGAGACGGATTGTGCGCGTAGAGGCCTCCTAGATGGGGTCGGAGTAGATGGGGTCGAAGGATCGCGCCCCATCGCCAATGCGTCGCCGATGCATTGGCGATACATCGGCGAAGCACTGGCGACGTCGGCGATGTATCGGTGACGTGGGCGTGGAGAAAATCGGGCTCCACATCGAGCCGCATCGTCGATGCATCGGCGATGCGGCGCGACCCTCCGACCCCATCTACTCCGACCCCATCTTGGAGGCCTGGGCGGCCTGGAGCGCGGGGAGGGTGTTTTGACCCCTCCCCCTGGGCCGAGGAGGGGTGGGTGGGCGTGCAGTCAGAGCTTCAAGATGGGCCCACAATGGCTCCAAGAGGGCCCTCGGCAGCCTAAGACGGCCTCCAAGATGGCTCAAGACAGCCAAAGATGGTTCAATATAGCCTCCAACATGTTTCCAAGAGGCCCCAAGGCAGTCCCAAGGCGGTTCCAAGTGCCCTTCGGGTCTTCCCAGGCATCCTCCAAGGAGCCCAAAACCTTCAAACACCGGGGGACGATCAATGTGTTTTGTCTTCTCGCTTTGTAGCTTCCGATGGACTTTTGAAGCCTCAAGATGTCCCAAGTATGGCCCAAGTGAGCACCGAGAGGGGCTCAAGAGCGTCCCAAGACGGCCCCAAGAGCGCCCAAGAGACGCCCAAGAGCGGCCCAGAGGGCCCCAGGACGCAAATTGTATTTTGTCTCCGGGGGGGGAGCCTGAATTGACTACCCTTAGGTCGGGCCTGTCCCTCTAGAGGCTGATTTGTGGCGAAAAATTGAACATAATCAAAACAGAATCCCGAAATGCTCAAAATTAGCCTGGCGAAGAACCCAACCATATGCAGTTGTCAGTACCGCAGCTGCGGGCTTCATCTTCAGTGGAACTCCCCATAGGACAACGGAACGTGTGAGGGGTGTGCCGAGATGGGTGCCACTGGGGCATTCGGTGAAGCTCCCTACGGGGACATGAAACACGCGCGGGGCGTGCCGACATGGGTGGCGGAAGCGCATGTGAGGGCCGCCGCTGGGGCCTCCAGTGGAGCTCCCTTTGGGTCCCCGAAACATGATGCTGCTGCGGGGGGGGTGCCGGGATGGGTGGCGGAGACGCATGTAAGCGCCGCTACTGGGGCCTTCGGTGGAGCTCCCTATGGGGCCACGAAGCGCGTGAGGGGTGTACTGGGATGTGTGGCGGGGACGCATGTGGGCGCCGCCACTGGGGCCTTCGGTGCAGCTCCTTATGAGGCCACGAAACGTGTGAGGGGTGTGCCGAATTGGGTGCGGGTGGTGACGCATGCGGGCGGTGCCACTGGGGCCTTCGGTGGAGCTCCCTATGGGGCCACGAAACCTGTTGTTGTGAGGGGCGTGCCGGGACGGGTGGCGGGGGCGCGTGTGAGCGCGGCCGCTGGGGCTTTCGGTGGAGTTCCCTGTGGGGCCACGGAACGTGTGAGGGGTGTGCCGAATTGGGTGGGTGTGGGCGACGCATGTGAGCGCCGCCACTGGGGCCTCCGGTGAATGATGGGGCCACGAAACCTGTGACGGATGTTCTGAAATGGGTGTGCGGGACGCATGCGCATGTGAGCGCCGCCACTGGGGCCTTCGGTGGAGCTCCCTATGGGGCCACGAAACGTGTGAGGGGTGTGCCGAATTGGTTGTGCGGGACGCATGCGGGCGGCAGCACTGGGACCTTCGGCGGAGCTCCCTATGGGGCCACGAAGCGTGTGAGGGGTGTGCCGAATTGGGTGTGCGTGACGCATGCGGGCGGCAGCACTGGGGCCTTCGGCGGAGCTCCTATGGGGCCACGAAACGTGTGAGGGGTGTGCCGAATTGGGTGTGCGTGACGCATGCGGGCGGCAGCACTGGGGCCTTCGGCGGAGCTTCCTATGGGGCCACGAAACGTGTGAGGGGTGTGCCGAATTGGGTGTGCGTGACGCATGCGGGCGGCAGCACTGGGGCCTTCGGTGGGGCTCCCTATGGGGCCACGAAACGTGTGAGGGGTGTGCCGAATTGGGTGTGGGTGACGCATCTGGGGCCTTGGGGCACGAAACGTGTGAAACGCGCATGCGGGCGGCAGCACTGGGGCCTTCGGTGGGCTGCCCTATGCGGGCCATGGGGCCGAAACGTGTGAGGGGTGTGCCGAATTGGGTGTGGGTGACGCATGCGGGCGGCAGCACTGGGGCCTTCGGCGGAGCTCCTATGGGGCCACGAAACGTGTGAGGGGTGTGCCGAATTGGGTGTGGGTGACGCATGCGGGCGGCAGCACTGGGGCCTTCGGCGGAGCTCCTATGGAGCTACGAAACGCTGTACTGGGTGGGTGAAACGCAGGGAAGAGGGGGAGGAGGAGGAGGAGGAGGAGGAGGAGGAGGAGAGGAGGAGGAGGAAGGAGGAGGCGGGAACGCGGGGCACCGTCTCTTCAAAACGAGGACCCAACACCACAGGACGGTTGGGAAATAGTCAAAAGATCGTCCCCAGACTATTTTTTTACTATCTTTGCATACTCCTCCTGTAGAGGGACGGGCCCGACTTAAGACTGCCCCACTCGTTTCGAGCCGTGAGGGCCAGGAGGCCTCCCAGACCCCCCCAGTGAGCCCCAAGAGGGCCCTAAGAGACTGCCAAAACGAGCTCCAAGAGGGCCCCAAGAGGACCCCAAGAGGCCCCACAGGGGGACCCTGAGAGAGCCCTTTAGGTGGCCTCAATCGTCCGTCGAGAACCTCTCGCAACAACAGATCTTCACAGCCAGACTTCTCATCCTCCTCGTCATCGTCCGTTCCTTCCCTCCTTCTTTCCTGCCTCCTCCCGCCCCTCCTCCTCATCTTCGTTATGCCTCCTACCCTAAAGATGGCCCCGGAAGTTCAAGCATGGCTCAAGGTAGCCTCCGACAGACCTCGAAGAGGCCTCAAGACAGCCTCAAGAAGATCCAAGATAGCCGAGCATGGCTCAAGGTATCCTTCGACAGCCTCTAGCAGAGCATGGCTCAAGATAGCCTCCAAGAGGCCTCAAGAAAGCATTCGACCGTGTCTGGATGAGCTGGTGGGGATACGCGAAGCGTCAAGAGTTGCTGCTTCTTCGAATCTACAACATCATATGTAGAATGCTCGTCTACGAACTTTCAGCGTAAGTAGATTCGGCGACGAATTCAATTTTGGCGTACATCATTTCCGTAGTTCATCTCCTACTCGAAGGACGCACGGCGGACACACGCTCTCGCGCGAGACGTCTCC